GGGGGGGGGAGTGGCGGCGCTGCAACAGCACCGGGTGGGGCAGCTCGGAAAAGGTGGGGAAGTAGCCGGGCTTGCCGCCGCGCATGTAGTGCTGCTCGCCCTCCTTGCTCAGGATGTACGAGTTCTCGCGCCTGCGGCGGGAGGCGCGTCCGTGCTCGGCGGCGAAGCAGCAGCCGCCGTCGCTTGCGGTGCGAGGGCCGCGGCGGGTGCCACACGCGGGCGAGGAGAGGGAGGGCCGGAACGGCGCGTGCGTGCGCGCCAGAACTCGAGGAAGGCGATGGTCAGGATGATCTGCCATTTCGCCGCCTCCGGCGTCACGTCCCACAGCTCCTGCGGGGAGAGCCCCTTTGGCGCCGCCATCGCAACCTTATCCCACGGGAAGCGAATGTCGTTGGCATGCACGATGTAGCCCACAAAGCCGGCCATCGCGACGCGGCCGTGCTTGATCTCCGACTCGCGCAGGAAGCCGATCGTCGCTGAGTTCGAGTCGCCCCAGAACTCGCCGTTAGAGAGGTTGAGCGGGTCCCAGTAGCCGACGACGGGGTTGAGCTGCGGGCAGCGGGCCGGCGGCACCTCAGCAGGCGCGTCGCGTGGCCGCACAGGCCGCCGGGCGAGCGGTGGCGGCACGCTGGGTGGTCAAGTCACAGGCTGGTCGCGCCTCCTTAGCAAAGCCCTCGAGGCCAGACTTGTCCATGAGCGCAGGCGCAGCGGCACGGACGGCGCCGCGCCCCGGGGCGGCGACGGGCGCGGTGATCGCGGCAGAGCCGGCGGAGAGGGCGACGGAGGCCGAGAGCTGCGAGGAGGGGGAGAGGCTGTGAGGAACGTGAGGGTGGGAACGAGCGTTCGAAGGAGCGGATCACCATTGGAGCAATTTTCGGTATCGAGATGCGCGTACAAAAAGAAATTACGGAGAAATACGATGCTCCGCTCGGACTCTCCTGACAGGCCGTATGGTTAATGTCGTGCTCGCTCCTACGCGGCCTCGCATTTTGCTGTGCTCCTACGCGGCTTGTCCGTGAATTTGTTTTCCGCCTCTATCTCTTTCGGCTTCATTGCAAATGCTGGCGACCGCCTCGACTCTGTCTCTCTCTTACGCCGCTCCCGCGGCGCCGGCCGGCGCCTCGCTGCGGCACGCTCGGCCTGCCGCCGCGCCGCCCCTCATGGAGACGAAAGCCGACCTCGAGGCCCTCGCCAAGGACCTCAACCCGGCGGTCGGTGAGCGGCCCGCACCTCGATCCGCCGCGGATCAGCCTCGGCCGCCGTTGCCGCAGCCGCCCAATCCGCCGCGCCGCTGCCGCAGGCTTCTGGGATCCGCTCGCGCTCTCCGACTACAGCTTCTGGGGCACCTCTCAGGAGGCGACGATCGGCTTCCTGCGCGAGGCGGAGATCAAGCATGGCCGCATCGCGATGGCCGGCTTTGTGGGCTACATCGTGCACTCGAACGACATCCGCTGGACCTTCGACAAGGTCGCCGCGTCGGTGCCCACCGGCCTGCCCGCGCCCGCTGTGTGGGACGCCATCCCCGACATCGCCAAGTGGCAAATCATCCTCTTTGTCGGTCCGCGCTCGCCACCGCCGCCCGCTCGCTGCGTCGCGGCACGAGCTCTCCCCACGGCCGCCGCGCGGCCTCCCACCGGCCGCGTCGGCGCTCCCTGCAGGCGTGATGGAGTCGTGGCGCGAGAACAAGGTGGTGCTCGAGGCGGAGGGCCAGAAGCACTACATGAGCGGAGGCAAACCCGGCTACTTTCCGTCCTTCGACCTGCTGCCGCACCCGGTGGCCTCCTCCGACCCGCTCCCGCGGCCTGGCACAGCCTGCCCCGTGAGCCTGCTCGCGGCCCTCCCCGCAGGTCCCCTTCCCCCTCTTCGACCCGTTCGGCATCTCGAAGCGCGCCACCGAGGAGAAGAAGGCAAAGGGCCGCCTCGCCGAGATCAACAACGGCGTGCCGCGCCCGGCCCGCCTCGCCTCTCCTGGAGGCGTTCGCGGAGGCGTCTCGGAGCCCCCCCCTATAGGCCGCCTCGCCATGATCGGCCTCTTCGGCTTCCTCTCCGAGGCCACGGTGCGGATCCGACCCCTCGTGCTCTCCCGATCCCCCCCCCCCCCCCACCCCACCCCGTGGCCACTCGCGCCTTGCCGACGCCTCTCCCCGTCGCGCGCAGGTGCCCGGCTCCGTCCCCTTCCTCAAGGGAGTGGTCCCCGCCTACACGGGCGAGGTGATGGCACCCTTCACCCAGAACATCTTCACCGCGCCGACGGCGCTCTGAGCGGCCCGCGCGCTGTCGCCGCCGCCGCTTCTGCCGCCCCTCTCCTCACACCGTGCGCTTGCGCCGCGCCGCCGCTCCGAACCGGACGCGGGCGCACGCACCCGCCCGTCGGTCGGTGGCCGCCTGCTGCTGCACCGCGCGACACTGTGAGAGGTGCTTGCTTAGTCTAGTCGCGGCTAGCGGCAGCCCCGGCTGAGACACCTGAGTCGCGCGGCGGCCGGCCGTGTGTGTGCATTACGCAAGAACGATAAACTCCAGGTTTGTGCATGTTCACAGAGACAATAAATACAGGGAGAGGAGCTCCTCTCTCGCTCTCTGTCTCGCTCTCGCTTGCGGTTGGGAGTCTCTCTCGCGTCTCGTCTCTGCAGACTCTGCACGGTGCACGCTCTGGGAAGTGTCCGCTGTCCGCCGATGCCGTCGCCTCAGACTCACAGCGAGCTGAGGTGTCGGGCATGGGGGGGGGCGGCTCTCCGCGTCTCCGCCTTCGTCGCGAGAGAACGCGCCCGCTCCCCATTTCGTCTGGGGCAATCACAAGTACGGCAGGATGGCAGCAACCACCACGGAGATGTTGTCGGTCGAGCCGGCGGCGTACGCCTCGCCCGCCAGCTTCTTGGCCGCCTCGGTGGGAGTCGCGTTCTCCGCGGCCAGCGCGCTCCGCACGCAGTCGCACGCCTGCTGGTCGGTCAGCACGTCCCAGACGCCGTCGCACGCGAGGATGACGAACCGGTCTGCGGCGCAGAGAGGCCGCTCCGCAACGGTCGGCTCGGCGAGCAGCAGCTGCGGAAGCTCCGGCGCGGCGCTGCCCTCGCCGAGCGGCGGGGGCGCCTCCTGCTGCCGCGGCACCTCGATCGACAAGTCGCACCCCGCCGGGCCTCCAGCCGCGCCGGCCGAGCCGGCGCCCGCGTCCGACGGAGCCGGCGCGGCGGGGGCGGTCAGGCGCGCGCCGCCCGCCTCGCCGGCCCCTGCGGCGTCGGCGTCGGCGTCGTCGGCGGCCGCCTCGCGCTCGATCTGCGCCTCGACCCTCGCCTCCGCGGCCGCCCGCTCCCAAGACTGCTTGAAGGCGATGTCCCCGAGGGAGCGGGACGTCGCGAGCATCATTTGCGTGCGCGGGTGCGTGACGCGCCAGCAGCGGCCTCCAAAGACAACCTCGCCGCCCGCGCGCTCGATGCGCGCCCGCTCGCCCCTCTCGTCCGGCTTGTGGTCCTCGGTCAGCCGCACCGCCGCACCGCCCGCCCCCGAACACAGCACCGCGCGCGAGTCGCCGACGTGCGCCACAAAGAGGCGGCCGCCGACGATGAGCGCAACGAGCGCGCAGGCGCCCGAGTCGGCCTCGGTCTGGCGGAAGGCGTCGTCGGTGAGGAGGAACGCCTCCCTCAGGGCGGGGAGCACCGCCCCCCTCTCGAACGCCTCCGCAGCGAGCAGCGCCGCGTGCAGCTTCTCCGCGGCGAACCGCGCGCACGCCCTGCCTCCGTGCCCGTCGTACACTCCGAGGAAGGTGAGCGGCGAGCCCGTCGGGCCCGCCAGGTGTGGCGCAGCGACGCTCTCCACCGTCACCTCGTCCTCCATCGTCGGCCGCCGGCCCTGCAGCTCGTGCGACCCGACACGCACTGAGTGCAGCGGCCCGCTCCGCACCCGCCAGCCCGCGCCGAGCCGCTGCTCGACGACGGCGGCGAAGGCGCCCCACTGCGTAGTGCGGCGCAGCGCCTCGAGCTGGTCCTCGCCCGCCTCGCCCTCCGCGCCCGCGGCAGGCGCCGCCGCCGGAGCCAGCCACACGCCCGCAATCTG